AGTTTGAAATAACACCCTTAAGGCCAAGCGCCATCACCGAAGAGAAGAGTTCGATCTCGATCGAACAGTCACGAGTTAGTATTTCGACAAAAGTTCGAAATATCCTTGAGGCCAAGGGCCATAAAAAAGAGGGGGAAAGAAAACTGGGACTCACGATGGGATAATACTTCGATATAAGCTCGAAAGTAACATCCCTACGGCTAAAGTTGCTATTAGAAAAAGAGTTCGATACCATTCAGACTTTGATGGGACAACACTTCGACACAAGTTCAAAAATATCGTCCCGCCAGCTAAAATTGTCATCAAGGTCCTGCTCAACCCATGTGACATTAAATTTCCTAAGAGTCGGGAACTCACCACACGAAAATCTACTTCTTTGCACCAAAGTTATGAAAAGCAAAACAAGGAATGAAGTACATGAGGCATATAACAATGGAAAATTCCTCTTTATACAAAACTACTGCGCAAACAGTCGCAGATTACATACGGCTAAAACCAACAGAATCCAAGAAAAAAACAGACAAAGATAGCAATTCTTTCACTCGACGCCATCACCACCACCCTCTTGACCACCATCTCCAGGAAGTCTTCCCTCGTCATCCGCACCCTTATCAACTTCCAGCGTCGCAGGGTCATATCCACAGTTAACACAAGCTTCTCGTGCCTTCGCCTGGGCTCCTTCATATGCGGCCTCGGTAACATTGCCCTCCTCCCAAAAACTCTTATATATATCCCGTTGGTCTTCATCATGAACCCAAAGCTCGTGCAAATGACGGGGAACAACGGCGGAGGAAGATTCAACTTGAGCCAATAGTTGCTCCTTTTCGGCCTCAAAAGCAGTGACCTGGTCCCCTAAGGTCGATACCTCCCGGTCGATCTCACCAATATGCTTCTCGATCCTCGCTTCCCTTAGCATGGTCGTCGCCCTCTCTGATTCCTACTCGGATTGGAGGACGCAGATAGTGTTCTCTTGAGCCACCGCCCTCGCCAAAGCCGACGACCAGGCACTCTCGATGTTCTCCAATCCGGTAACCTTTTTCTCCAACTCGGCCAACTTTCCCATCCACTCCGTGCTCATCGCCTCGACCCTGATGACATTATGATACATCTCAGATTGCATCGACCTCAACTTTCCCTGAAGATATTCGTACTCTACAGCAACCCCTTTTCCCAACTCAAGCTCTTTGTCCTTTGCACGGAGTTGCTCCTCGAGTACACTATTTTTGCTAATAGCCTGCATCAATTCCTGATCCCTCTTCTCCAATTCCTCACCGAGGGATCGATCACCAGGGTTCACCTTCAGCCGCTTGTGTGGCACTTTTTGCGATAGCGCTGATATTTTTCCAACATCTTCAAGAAAATCTTGGCCTGAGTGTCAGCCCTACGAGTGTTCTCAATTTCCACCATGTATGTCTAAAAAATGAAAAGATGGGTTAAGACCAAATCACCAAAAAAAATGAAAGGAACATGAAAGAAAAGTGAAACATACTCTCAAGCCCATAATAGACACTTTATGCATCATATCAATATCAAGAATGTCCCGAACAGCCTCGCTCTCGGCGGAAGAACACAAAAGGTCAAACTGCGGCACTAGGTCCTCTGTGTCCCCCAGAAGATTAATATCCGATGAGATCTCAAGAATACGGGATGGTCCTCCCGCATGAACCACCGAAGGGGTAAACCCTTCTTCAAACATCCTGAAGTCATCAGGATCGAGATCAGACTCAGACTCGTAGTCGTCAACCACGACACCCTTTCCCCTTTCTGCGGCCAAGGAGTGAGCACGACCCGCCACCAAAGATGAATGCCCGTCCAAAGCGGTAACAACGACCTCAAGACTCTAACCCACCGTCATAGTAGGTTGTTGGTCAATCATAGTGATCGGGATCTCCGTCGATGGGGCAGACATAATGGTTGTACTGTTCTTTACAGGCGAAATAGCTTCAACTCCTGCCTTAGACCCCGTCAAAGGGAGATCACCTTCTGAACGTACCATGGTCGAAGGAGCCGCTTCAGACTCTACTCGCTGCCTCTTTGACGGCCCCTCTCCTTCTTCAGCATGGGAAGATTCCCCCGTTGGGTAGGTGATATGGGTCAGAATCTCAGGTCGAGGAGCAACCTCCGTGCACAAAGCCACGGCCATAGACTCAACTGAAGTGACCCTCGAAGAAGGTCGGGTAGTATATCCTGAGGCAGGGCGAACAGACGATGTGGGCTGACGAAATGCTAGTGGAGGAGCCCTCGCTCTCCGCACTCTCCCTGGCATCGACGAACGTCATATAAGCAATAAAGTCAAAACAAAAAAGGGGGGGATAGCAGAAAACAAAAATGATATTACTTACCAGTAAGGGGCTTGCGTCCATATTTCTCATAGAAGGACGACCATGTGCAGACCCCTGTCGTATGAGGAAGGATGGCGTTCACCCACTCGCAGATACCGTCAATAGGTGTAGGGGTAGTTTCACGGCTGTAAAAACAAAAACAGTTTAGTACTGCCCAAAACAAAAGCGGTCGGGAATCATTCCGACCAAAAGTATAGAAACTTACGTGCAAAGTTTCATTTCTCAGGGAACCCCATAAAATCCTCCACGAGGTGCTCGGTCTGCACATAAAAGTAATTCTCGTAGAAGCGACAGTTGGCTCTGTCATCCATTTTCACCACCAGACTCTTCGTCCCTCGGTGGCGCATGTGAATCATCGTACCACGAATGAGTTGAGGGGCGAAGATATTGAGCATGTGCTTCAAAGTGATCTCTCGACCAGCAAGCTCCGCGAACTTGAGCAGCATGAGGAACAATTTATACAGGTATGACGAAAGTTGAGCCGGACATACCTCGTAAAAGTGGCAAAAATCTACCACTAAGAGAGTGAGAGGAAGCGTGTACCCAACAATAAAGGGATAGGCATAGATCGCGCAATACCCTGGGCGGTCAAAATGAACTATGTCGTTCCCTACCGTCGGCAGCATTTCGACGTGGTGAGGGATTCCCCACCTAGCCTTCAATTCTGTGATCCCCTCCTCATTCATAACAGAGGAAGTAGGTTCCGGCTCCTCCCCGGCGGGACTGTGGAAATCATTCCATGGTTTCCCAAGGCGAGGCAAGATCTCAGCCGCCGTCGGAACCCCCTCATCTTCCACCACTTCTACCTCTCAATTGGCAAGAACATCGTTTTCTGGCACCGGAGTTGTGGCAGGATGGTCAGTGCGAGAAGGATTACCAGCCATTTGTATCAATTTGATAAAACAAAGTGATAATGAAAAAGAAAGACAAAAGTTCCTAGCTAATCGGAGAAAATCAAAAATCCGAAGTATCAGGAGAAAAGAAGATTTGCAAAGTTCTTTCAAGTAAAAGGAAAGAAGTGTGCCAATTGAATGGTGCTTTCCTTCTACTTATAAGAGACATAGATTTCCCAAGCGCGAAACCCAAGATTCGCCAATCGAAGTTGATAGGGCATGAAACGGTTCAATCCTCCGGGAACGTGTGTCATAATGGCGGTAACCACGAACGATGTTTCAAGTTAAACGATGTTTCGATTCCGAAATGGCCGCAGTGGTCAAGGGCATCGCAAGAGCGTCGTTACTTTACTTGAATATAAAAATTATACCCAAAGGGTAGGTAGTCAGATTTCTCTTAGATGTGTAAAAATCATAATCCGTCTATCAGGCCCGACAAGAGACGACCCCGGCAAATGGAGGGACTAACTGTATTGGTCAAAATCTGACTGCTGCGGTCGACCCAACTTGGATCCCGTCCAAGCGGCGAGATAGTGAAAGACGACATGATTTGTTCCAAACCACTTACTCACAATACCCGCTAAGTCGAAAAATAGTACTCAGAGAACGACGAAAACAGACATGGTATGAAGGTGCATTGACCCGAGAACATATCAAGGATTCCATAATTATATATAGGGAGGGAACCTTCCTAGAATGGGAGGCGTTTTCCTCTTTTTCCTCTCCTGTGTAATCTTCTCGGCAAGAAGGAAGAAAAAACAAATATTTCCATCGATTGATGAGAGAAGAAATGAAAAAACATCTATAAGATTGATCACCCCTATTTTATCTGATGCATCATTTTCTGATTTGTTTATAGATCTGGAGTTTATTATGCTTGATTAAGATTTACCTCTTCATCTTCTTTAATTGATTTAATCAAAAATATTTCAATATTTTTTGGTCAAACATATATACTGCTAGTCTGCTAGTATTTTGTCTATTCAGTTTACAAAAATATCTTCCTGTTATACACTTTCCTTTACTATGATTAGAGGGACTCCCTTACGTTACATATCTGGCCCCCAAAATGTCAGACCAACATTTATCTATGGAGGATTAATTCGTTAAGTTTGTTAATTAGGACATTTAACCCAACAAATCCCAGGCTACACAATTACGCCTCATAATATGTGTATAAACATGCCTCCGACTATAAACTAGGAAGAAAAGTCCTATATAGTGATTCATATATACTGCATTCGACCTCTGGTGCAACTTAGATGGTAATGGAAAGTTCATGTAATGCTGAAGTGTCTTGTTGATGAAGTCTTAAACTATTATGAGAGCAACCAAAATGTTGGCCTGGTCATTGGAGTTCACATGCACACACACCTTGTCACCCAACACCTATGTCTTGGTGCAATAAATTGTTGTTATTGGGGTGCGACTAGCTCTTGAATAGTACTCCCTCCGGTCCATTTTAAGTGATTTTTGGCTATTTTCACACTTATTAAGGAATTCATCTTTTAGCATTAATCAATAATAAAATTGACCATATTAACTTTAATTTGCTAATTGAATATATAACAAACAACTGTTAGGCTCTTTACTCCAAGACCAACTTTGGAAAAAAGATGTTAATTACTTGATATCTGGAAAAAAAAAAACAGATATTGTGGACCACAAAAAAAAGCCAAAAAATTACTTAAAGTAGAAGGAAGGACTTAAAGTGGAAGGAAGGGAGTACTCATTTGGGGTGAACGGATAGATCAGTAACCATGACAGGAGTATTATTTCTTATGTCCAATCAACGAAATGTCATAGGGCTTAAGTTCTTAACATATACATGTCATTGATTAATTCTATTCATTCATTTTCTTTTTCTATAAGACGGTGATGAGAAAACATAATAGGTGTGCATCACGGCCTAGTAATCATAGTTTTCACTCTGAGCAATTAGTATTAGAATACAGAGGCTAAGAACAACGCCAACCAATTCCACTTTGAGGTCAGATTAAATGAAATTATTCATACTTCACCATTCCATTGAAACGTCTCTGTTGCGCCTCCTACAGATTTTTGCAATCAGCTAGCGCACTTCTCAGAATGAACTGGTGGTGGTCAAGATCTACCAATACTACACAGGCAAGTACAAATTTGCTAGATTATTTCCCAAAAAAACAATATGTTTGAATTTCCTTCTGCTATTACTATAGTTTGGGTAGTATTTAAATTTTCTCAAACAAAATGCATGCAAAAACTTTTGGTTCACAGCAAAATGTTGACTATTATGAAACAACAAATCATGAGAGCAACCAAAATGTTGGCCTGGTCATTGGAGTCACCGGCGTGGTTGGCAACAGCTTGGCCGAAACACTCTCTTCCACTGACAGCCGGGGCGGTCCGTGGAAGGTCTATGGTGTGGCACGACGGGAGACACCAGTCCGGAATGCTAAAGTCACATATATTCAGTGCGATGTCTCTGTGGCAACTGACACTCAAGCCAAGTTATCGACCCTGGAAGATGTGACACACATCTTCTGGGTGACTTCGGCTTTTGACCTTTCTATGGCCAAACACTGCGAAATTAATGCAACCATGCTTCACAATGTCCTCAATGCAATCATCTCAAATGCACCAAATTTGCGCCACATCTGTCTCCAGACAGGCGCGATGCACTATATGGGGATACATAGATCAGTTGATGGGAAAATTCATACTATTTCCCATGATCCACCTTTCACTGAAGAGATGGAAAGGTTGGAAAATATTCACAACTTTTATTACACGTTAGAAGATGTACTGCTTGACGAGATCTCCAGAAAACCAAGTATAACATGGTCCGTCCACAGGCCAGATCTGATTTTCGGATTTTCACCTCATAGCACATTGAACATTGTTGGAACGCTTTGTGTGTATGCAACAATATGCAAATACGAACGCGTTCCACTGACGTTTCCAGGGACAAAAGTCCGTTGGGATAGTTACTCTAACGCATCAGACGCTGATTTGGTGGCAGAGCATCAAATTTGGGCTGCACTCTGCCCGCGGGCGCAGAACAAAGCATTCAATATTACCAACGGCGATGTGTTCAAATGGAAGCATTTGTGGAAGGTGTTGGCTGAACAGATTGGAGTAGAATATGTGGGATTCAACGAGACCGAGAAGCATATTTGCTTGGCTGAGATGATGAAAGATAAGGGGCATGTGTGGGATAAGATTGTGAGAGACAATAACTTGGTTTCCACCACGTTAGAAGAGGTTGGCTTATGGCAATTTGCAGATATGATACTGGCTGGAGGGAGTAATAGGTTGAGCAGCATAAATCGCAGCAAAGAGCATGGTTTTATGGGCTTCAGGAATTCCACCAATTCCTTCATTTTCTGGATACAAAAGGCAAAAGATAATAGATTAATTCCTTGAACATTGTATCTTCACTTTAGCATTTAATAAGGTTATCTTACCTTGTTAGTTAATTTATTTAGGGAAAATCTTTGTAATCAGAATTGGGGTGGCCGGTATACCTATCACTTCAATTCTTTGTTTACTTCAACCCCTCCACCGGTTGCTCCCACGTCAGTGTTTACATTTCAAAGTCTACGAAATGAAATTATACAAATTGCATTGGAATAAAATATAAAGCTAATTCTAATACTTATAAGGCTCTCTTCCATGTCAATGGAGAAGTTGGTCTCCTATCACGACTAATTATAAGTTCTAGATTCCTCAATTTTTTCCTCTTCTTGTTCTGAAATGAAGTTGTGTACGGGTAAAATCGGGGGGCAAAGTCTTCCCCGATTCCCCGACAAGAGAACGAAGGGGAAGCACGGATCGACATGATTATAATCGAGGTCAGAAACCTCTCATATTGAGACCCAGGAAAAATGAATGATGTATCCGACGTCGGACATGGTAAAGCGACGCACCCCGGGTCGAGTATAGCTTCTGAACCTCGGGAGACGCGGTGATCGGTTATGCATGATGGATAGGGGACCGTAATATTGACCCTCAACTGGATATTACAGCATGAATCCCGTTCAATATCAATTATGGACCAACAATTACCGGAAAAAGAAGATTTTAACCTTTTTAGACTTATACTAGGACTGAAATTCTCCTACAATATAAATAGAAAATTTTTCTTTAGTCTGACACATTGTAACACGCAATTCAAATTAATAAAAGTCTGCTTTTGTCTTCTAGCTATTATTAAAAGCACTATTCGCTTGTTCTTTGTTCGTTCGCAACCGAGCTCATATCGAGGGTCTGATCGAGGACGAGTTCCATTGTCCAACCCAAAATCAGGCTTGGTCATTACATTGCGACTGGTTTAATCGTTTATTTCGTCTTTACTTCATCTATATGTTATTCTTAATTATTCGTAATGAATTAAATCACGTATCCTTTAAATCGCATATAAATTATTTATTATTACTCATTTTTTGGGTAAACAATTTGGCGCCCACCATGGGGATAAGGAAATAGTGATAATTTGATATGAATCTCCATAACACATCCTATTTTACGCTTGCTCTTTGAAGTCTTAATTCCAGGTCAGCCTAAAAATGTCAAACTTCCAGTGTGCCATCATGAAGAAAATAATAATATGGTGCCCAATAATGACGTGCTCCCTGCTGATCCCAATAGTGTCCCATCCACCGACTCTGTAGATGCTAACTCACAGGTGTCCATCAACATCAATTTGCCTATTGATCCCAAAAATAGTGTATGCGGGGGACCCCGATCAACAGCTCGAGAAACGCCCGAAGGTGAAGGTGATGGGGTGAGCCTACGATTGATTTTTGAAATGTTGCAAGCTCAATAAGCGGCAAAAGCACATATGCAGAATCAAAGCCATGCCCCTAACCGGGTTGAGCCTGAACAATCCTAGGAAAATACTCGGAGAGACGAACAAATTATCGTGAGACCGGGTGAAGCCAAGCCCGAAAAAACTTCAGAGGTGATGAAGATGCTTGAAGCGTTAACAAAACGGGTAGATTCAGGCAAGAAAAAGATTGAGGATAACTACAAGAAGGTAGAAACATACAACTTCAGGGTCGATCAGATCCCTGGAGCACCTCTGATATTGAAGGGACCGAACTCCAAAAAATTTATTCGGAAACCCTTTTCTCCGAGCGTGGTACCAAAGCTGATACCGAAGAGGTTTCGAATGCCCGGCATTCCTAAGTATAATGGGACCACAAATCCGAATGAGCATGTAACCTCCTATACATGTACGATCAAAGGGAACAATTTGGAAGATGACAAAATCGAGTCGGTGTTGCTGAAAAAGTTTGGAAAAACTTTGTCCAAAGGAGCATTGATATGGTATCACAACTTGCTTCGAAATTCTATTGACTCATTTGCTATACTTGTAGATACTTTTGTAAAGGCCCTTGCCGGAGCCATCAAGGTCGAGACCAGAAAGTCATTTCTTTTAAAGGTCAAACAAAGGGATTCCGAGATGCTCAGGGAGTTTGCATCAAGATTACAGATAGAGCGGATGGATCTACCACCGGTCACGGATGATTGGACCGTTTAGACGTTCACTCAGGGGCTTAACCCCCGAAGTTACATGGATTTTCAACAGCTAAAATAAAATTTGGTGGCGTACCCAGCGGTAACCTTGACCGACGTCCACAACAGGTACCAGTCAAATATCAGGGTCGAGTACGATGAACTTGGGCCCCCCTCTGGATCTGTTTACCCTATCAGAATCGATGATAGATCTAAGAGGGCCATTGATCAGGAGACAAGGATGGTTCGATATTGATATCAACTATACAACGTGAATCGAAGGGGAAATGGGTCTGGGCATTATCCAGTGAGGAACGAGAAGAGAAGTGATCGAGGGCCGAGTGGCCGAGACTTGATGAGCAAGAGTGGGTTTGAGAGGCCGCTCAGGAGTAGGGAAGCACCAAGATTATCGGAGTATAATTTCAACGTAGATGCTGCAAGCATTGTGTCGGCCATAGGGCGCATTAAAGAGACCAAGTGGCCTGACCATTGCAGTCCGATCCAACTCAGAAAGATCCTAATTTGATGTGTAAGTATCACGACGCTCACGGCCATACGACCGAAGATTGCAGACAGTTAAGAGAAGAAGTAGCTCGATTGTTCAACAATGGGCACCTCTGAACATTCCTAAGCGAGCGAGCCAAAAAACACTTTAGAAATTGGGACACCAACAAACAGGTCGAACTAGTGGAGCCTCAACACGTGATCAACATGATCATTGGGGAAGTCAACGTCCCCTAAGGGCTAATGATAAAACACAAACACACCTGGGATTACGTTCCGAAGGGAACTATTTTGTTTAGCAACGAAGATATATCGGGCATCGTGCAGCCTTATAACGATGCACTAGTAATATATGTATTTATCAATAAATCCTAGGTTAAATGTGTGTTGATTGATCTAAGCATCTCAAACAACATCATCATATTAAGGGTCGTAGAGTAACTGGGGTTACAATATCAAATCGTACCGGCGGTCCGAGTATTGAATGGGTTCAACATGGCGTGTGAGACCACGAAATGGGAGATAACTTTGCTGGTAAACACCGCTGGGACAATCCAAGAAATGAAGTTATTCTTGATCAAAGGGGATATAAGGTACAATGCATTATTCGGAATACCATGAGTCCACAACATGAGGGCGGTACCTTCAACCTTACACCAGGCACTGAAATTTCCCACGCCGGGGGGAATCAGAACGGTCTACAAAGAACAACCGACCATGAGGAAAATGTTTGCCCTTGATGAAGTGATCCCGGTGCCCGCGGCTTCAATATCAAGGAGCGCAGAACCAACCAAAAAAGAAGAGGCTAAATAAAAATCAATGATACCGGCCTTAGCCAAACTGGAGAAACATGAAGAACAAGGGGCGAGCAATGAGGACAATTACAGCGTCCCGAGATCATTCATAGCTTTGGATGACACTGAAGACATCAAATTAACGATCGAAGAGTTGGAGCAACTTATATTAATTGAGCATCTACCGGATCGAAAGGTATGCCTGGGCACGAGGTTAATCCCCGAGCTTAGGAAAAAACTTATTGATTTTCTTAAAGATAACACCGACTGTTTTGCTTAGTCCCATCTTGACATGACAGGGATCCCACTGGAGGTAACCACTCACAAGCTGAGTTTGGAACTGAAGTTCCATTGGGTTAAGCAGAAGAGAAGGCCATAGTCCGAGATCGAAGATGCGTTTATCAAGGATGAGGTATCCAAACTTCTAAAAATAGGATCCATCCGGGAAATTAAATACCCGGATTGATTAGCTAACATAGTGGTAGTACCTAAAAAGGTAAATAAACTAAGGATGCGTGTAGATCATAAGGATCAAAACAAAGCATGCCCAAAGGAGTCTTTCCCTTTACCTAACATCGATCGAATAATCGACGTGACGGTCGGGCATGAGATATTGAGTTTTCTCGATGCCTACTATGGGTACAATCCAATTCGGATGGATCCAGACTATCAAAAAAAGACTTCTTTCATAACAAAATTCGGCACCTACTGCTATAACGTAATGTCGTTCGGATTAAAGAATGCCTGTGCCACCTACCAATGCCTAGTAAACCAGATGTTCAAAGAACAAATAGGGAAATCAATGAAAGTTTATATTGATGATCTGTTGGTTAAGTCCTTGCGAGCAGAGGACAATTTGAAACATTTGCATAAAATCTTTGACATACTAAGGAAGTACAACATGAAGTTAAACTTGGAGAAGTGTGCATTTGGGATTGGTTCGGGCAAATTCCTCGGGTTCATAGTATCTAATCAGGGGATAGAGATCAACCCCCGACAAAATAAAGGCCATAGAGGATACCACCGTAGCCGACAACGTCAAGGCGGTTCAAAGATTGACCTGGCATATAGTCGCATTGGGCCGGTTCATCTCGAGGTCATCAGATAAGAGCGATCAGTTCTTCTCACTATTGAAAAAGAAGAACAATTTTTCTTGGACTCCGTAATGCCAAAAAGCTTTGGAAGAACTCAAGCGATACCTATCGAGCCCCCATTTGCTGTACACTCTGAAGGCAGACGATCAACTGTACCTCTACTTGGCAGTTTCTGAGGTGGTGGTGAGTGGTGTCTTAATCCGGGAGGAAGAAGGTACCAAATTTCCTATTTATTATGTTAGTAGAACCTTAGGCGATGCCGAAACAAGGTATCCTCGCCTAGAAAAGTTAGCGCTCGCCTTGCTAAGCGCTTCCAAGAAACTAAAATCGTACTTTCAATGCCACCCCATATGTGTCATAACCTCTTACCCATTGAGGAATATCATGTATAAGCCCGAGCTTTTCGGTCGGTTGGCCAAATGGGTCGTGGAGATTAGTGTGTACGATATCGAGTACCGACCCCGAATTGCCATAAAATCTCGAATTTTGGCAGACTTCATGGCTGACTTTACGCAGGCCTTGATACTTGAAGTCGAAAAGGAATTACTGCTTACTTCGGGGGCTAATTCGGGGATCTGGACCCTATTCACGGATGATGCCTCCGACACAAAGGGGTCCGAGCTCGATATCATTTTAAAACCTGC